ATACATATTGAATCCAAAAAGATACACAAAACAGATGCTCAATTGCAGTTTACCTTAGGCTACTTAATTTTCTTGTAGTTAATGATAAATGGACTTGAGAATACCAGCTTGATATTATAAAAAAGTAATACATTTACATGTATTTCAAGTTAATTCTTATTGGCTGTTCAGAAACCGTAAAATATATGAAGGCTCATAGGATCCTAATGTAGTTTAAAGGAAGCAGCAGTGCAAGTAGCTGGTTAATTTAAAGGAACACTCCACTATTTTTGAAAATAGGCTCATTTTCCAACTCCCCTAGAGTTAAACAGTTGAGTTTTACCGTTTTCGAATCCATTCAGCCGATCTCCGGGTCTGGCGGTAGCACTTTTAGCTGCAGCTTAGCATAGATCATTGAATCTGATTAGACCGTTAGCATCTCGCTCAAAAATGACCAAAGAGTTTCTATATTTTTCCTATTTAAAACTTGACTCTTCTGTAGTTACATTCTGTACTAAGACCAACGGAAAATGAAAAGTTGCGATTTTATAGGCCGATAAGGCTAGGAACTATACTCTCATTCCGGCGTAATAATCAAGGAACTTTACTGCCGTACCATGGGTGCAGCAGGCACAATGATATTACGCAGCACCTGAAAATAGGCTAATTTAGATATATAGGCCTAGAAAATCGTAACTTTTCATTTTCCATCGTCTTAGTACACGATGTAACTACAGAAGAGTCAAGTTTTAAATAGGAAAAATATCGAAACTCTTTGGTCATTTTTGAGCGAGATGCTAACGGTCTAATCCGATTCAATGATCTATGCTAAGCTACAGCTAAAAGTTCTACCGCCAGACCTGGAGATCGGCTGAATGGATTCGAAAACGGTAAAACTCAACTGTATAACTCTAGGGGAGTTGAAAAATTAGCCTATTTTCAAAAATAGTGGAGTGTTCCTTTAATATCAGTGCATTTTTCCTTGTGAGACTTGGGATTGCATATTATGAGGGAGAGACATTATCTCAAAGATGCTTAGATTAGCATCTATTCTTCATCTGACCAAACAATTTAGTCCTAAATTGTCCAGCCAAATCATGGTTTTATCTGAAAAACAAACCCAGAGCATGCTTTATAGGTACTTTCTTATCACCTCATTAAACAAATTACTGTCAAAACACTGAAAAAGAAAACTTCAGGCAAAGTACAGTTATTTAGAAACCACAGTCAGAATCTGCTGACAGATGATTTGTTGTTGTTCATTTAAAGTTACAGAGTTGCAGACCACCCAGAGCTCAGCACTGAATTTTCAAAACACCTCCAGCGACTTCCGACACAATATGACGAGGAAACAAAACCCCTGTACCGAAGAACTATAGATACTTACGGCACTCACTACACACGTCAAGTCCATCTGGGAGGGCGAGTGAGGCGAGTCACGGCTTTTCGAACTTGTCTTGCAACCCTGAAGGGCTTCTCAGAGACCGATATCAAGAACTGCCTGAACATAGAGTTAAAGATTACTTTGGGGTTCCTTCCAGCTAATGCCTCACTTTCCAACAAATGCTCTCAAATCCTTAAAGATAACATGAGCATGGGATTCTACCAGGGCTTCATGACACACAAGATAGAGGTGCTGGGAGGTGAGAAATACTTTCCAGACCTAGTTTTAAACCAAAGCCCAGCTGAAGCATACTCAAACTGGATGATGAGCTTGCATGACAATCCGGACGTCATATCATATGCAATTTTCCCTCTTCATCATCTGGTGGCTGATCTTGAGGTTAGTGCCAATCTAAAAAGAGCAGTAACTGCGTATATTGAAGATAACATGCTTTCTGTAAATCACAAAGAGAATCAAGGATGCTCACAAACACCAAATCTAGACCACAACTGCTGTCCTATGCAAGCCGGCCGTGGCAAGTTAGTAGTGATGGTGCAGAGAGCAGCAGGCCTGAAAGCAGATCTCTTCACACGTACTGATGGTTACGTGAAAGTTTGGTACTACCTCATGTATGAGGAGACTGAGGTGGTTATGGACAATAATGATCCCGAATGGAACATCAGCTATGATTTTGGATCAATTGAGTTTGGTCATGAACTCATATTTGAGGTTTGGGACAGTGATGTCATTTATAATGACATGGTGGGGAGATGTGTGGTCAGCCCTGAACGTGGAACTCATTCACACAGCTGTAAATTAAAGAGAGGCATCATGTATTTCACCTACAATGCATCTTGTGATGCTCATCTAACTGGACCCAGGTGTAGCAGATATTCACCAAAATCATAAGACTTTGTATTTGTATAGAACAAATGATACAAAAAGAATATTAAGCATATTTATAATGAAGAATATTTCTGCATATTGCTTTTTAGATAGTTGTATAGACATGTATAGAACAAATAAACACAAATAAAAAAATAATTACATTTTCATTTAAATTTTTTGTAATATATAAGTATAGTGTTCAAATGAAACTTCACATTTTGATATCTCTTGTGGAAAAAGAAGATGACTATAGAGGTTTTAGCTGTTGTTTTTTTTTCAAGACTAATAGATTTCAGAAGATTATTACAGTATTTGTTCTGCTACTACAGAAAATAGTTTTGCTTTCAATGGTTTGATTCCTGTGCGTGTTTGTGGTTATGTATTGCAAAGTGAAAAGTATAAGAGCTTTTCATGATCTGTAACAGATAATTCATTAATCAAAACTGTCTATAAAGACGCCAAGGTCACTGGTTCATTTCCCACAGAACACAGTTATTAAATAAACCAAACAAAACAAATAAAAATCTTTCAGAAATGCAAATGGAAAATGGTTTTTCATTTTGTTGTCGTTTTTTCCCCAGACAGATAACAAGACTAAGTACAACATAGAGACTGCACGATATTCTCCAAACAGGTATCCCAAAGAAAACAGAGGTTAGACATGTACAGTCTTAACTCTGTAACAAAGCTAGAAACTAGAAAAATGAAAACTTTGTCATTCTACCATAACTTTAAATGTTGGAATAATTAACAGATGAACAAACAATACACAAAAGGACAGAACACAAACTGAAAAATAAATGATGAATGGTTTTAATTTTACCCAGGTGAACAAACAACACACAAAAGGAGAAAATTGCATGATGAATAGGATTAACATTATCAGATAACACTGATTTAAGTTTGACCTCAAATGCTGTAACACAAGGTTGTAGGCCTTTTTGAAGGATTGTCACAATATGATGGAGAAACAAAACCCCTGTACTGAAGGACTATAGATACTTACGGCACTCACTACATATGTCAAGTTCATCTGGGAGGATGAGGCGGGTCACAGCTTTTCGAACTTGTCTTGCAACCCTGAAGGGCTTCTCAGAGACCGATATCAAGAACTGCCTGAATATTGAGTTAAAGATTACTTTTCAGTGGGCAATTGATGTTGAAAAGATATCAAATTCACCTAAAAAAAAAAAACACGGTCAAATATGCACTGATGCCAAAAACTTGATGTAAATTGAACGTCAAACATATTTGCCTATACATATACATTAAACCAATTTCAGTGTGGGATTAATTTCCTATTTTCACCCACTGAAGAAATTGCCATCCAAACTAAATTTAAAATAATGTTACAACATCTTGATCAAATCTTGACTAATATTTTATGTCAAATTGATATCAAGGTGCCTGGGTTTGAGGTTCCTTACAGCTAATGCCTTTTTTTGTAACAAATAGTCTCAAATCCTTGAAGATAACATGAGCATGGGATTCTGCTTCATGACACACAAGATAGAGGTGTTGGGAGGTGAGAAATACTTTCCAGTCCTTGTTTTAAACCAAAGCCCAGCTGAAGCATACTCAAACTGGATGATGAGCTTGCATGACAATCCTGATGTTATATATGCATTTTCCCACTTCATCGTCTGGAGGATGATCCTGAGGTTTGATAGAAACTAAAAAAATGTCAACTTTAGCATTCTACCATAACAAACAATACACAAATGGATAGGACATAAACTGAAAAACAGATGATGTTTTTCATTTCACCCAGGTGAACAAACAACACACAAAAGGAGAAGACTTCAAATAAAAAAAGGCATGATGAATAGGATTAACATGATCAGATAACACTGATTTAAGTTTGACCTCAAATGCTGTAACGTGAGCTTGTATGTTTTTTTGAAGGATTGTCAACATAATTGTGAACTGAAAATAACTTTTGTTTTTCTTAGGTAGACTTTAAAATCATTTAGAGAAAATAAGTTTTCAAAGCTCCCCCTATAGTTTAACAAACGTGTGAGAACATTGACACTGATTAACAAATCAGAAACCAGTATCTTTCTTCTGTGGAAAGATGAACATTTTGGAGGGAAAATTCACTTTTTTGCCCAATAAAGACCTTATATATCTTCTTTTGTGTTCCTTAAAAGAATTGCATACAGGTTTGGATGACATGAGGATGAATAAATGATTGCAGAAATTGTATTTATAAAAGTAGGTTTGTTTGTTTGTTAAAATGGTTCCAATGTGTACAATTATTTATTTATTTATTTATTGGAATGACATAATTCCTTTGAAGCAAATTTGACTGGCATATTAAATGAATGCACACATTTAAAACATTCAAAATTTGATTCTATCAATATAACTAACCCCAATAGTGTGGTAGGTTGTAACAACAGCACTCTTAGTATTTGTATTTAAATAGCTTTTTGTAATTAAGTCAGTGTTCAGGCTAAGCAACCATTTTAAATTGAAGCAGACAAATATGGATATTACATTAAAGTTATATATTTGCGTGTGTTAAACAACAAAAGATTAGAAAATAGTTTTGCTTTCGGTCATCTGGTTATTATGTGACAAATTAAAAGGAATATGATAAGATCTTTTGTTGTTTCAGATTCTAATACAGATCATTCAATAAAACATGAATGCCTATTGGTTCAGTGAAACCACAAACCCTGACTTGACAATATATAAGACATGCAATTCTGAGAGAGAAATGCATTTTTACTCAGCACACCAGACGATCATGGAGTCAAGAACATTGTGTCTGCTGATGCTCTACTGCTGTATCGACATCAGCAACCTTTATCCGCTCATTCGTCCCAGTAATGGACTCAATGAGTGCCATAAAAACTCGCCTTTACCAGCGCTGGAGGTCCTACCGGGAGGAGGCTGGGATAACCTGCGCAACATAGACATGGGCCGGGTGATGAATCTGAGTTATTCCCAGTGTCAAACCACAGAAGATGGTGTATATCTCATTCCAGATGAAGTCTTTGTCATTCCACAGAAAGAGAGCGGAGTGGAAACAAACTCTGAGATCATCATGTCATGGCTGGACCAGACAAGCTCCACATCAAGCTCCATCAATGCAGATGCTTCCTTTCTTCTGGTGCTCAATGCGAAATTCTCCAAAGAAAACCAGCGTATTAAAACTCACCAAGTGAAGGAGAGTTCTGCAACAGCACGAGTTCAAGTAAGTCAAAAAAACAGTCTAACAACATTTACATGAAACAGCAGTCTGGAATTTTAAACAGTTTGAATTACAGAAAGTAATTACTAAAAAATACTGACGACTCTAATTTTGTATAATTTTTACTAAGATATCCAATATTACATAATATTTTCTCACTCTTATTGTTATGACTGTACAGAAAAGATTCATTCAGAAGACCTCAACTTTGCCATTATGATTTAACTTCAGCATTTATACACAGATTTTTAGGCCACAAAATTAGGGTTGGGAATCGAAAAAATCAATTCCAATTCCAGAATCGGATACTTAAGGTCAGGAATCGGTTATTTGATAGGTGGAATTGTAATTTCAATTCCACCTATCAATTCCTGTGTGCGCATCTTTTATTTTTAGTTGGCGAAAAGGGGCTGTTAAAAATGTATTTGTCTTCGAATCATTCATTCAAGAGATTCATTCATTCTCAAGAGATTCATCCAGTAATGAAACAAGTACATCTTTAGTGAGTCATTGAATCAGTCCATTCATAAATTCCATGAGATTTAGTTTAGTTGTCTAATATTTTTTCTCCATTAAAAAAGTTTCAATTTATCCGGAATCGTGCAGCTCTATTTTGCACACAAACAGCTCTTAATTGAGTCCAGGTTTTATGTAGCCGGCTGATTTTTGTTGATGGTATTGAGCAGCAATTAAATGTTTTGCAAAAAGAGAGACAGAATAAATGTGTTTGATATCTATATGTTTGACTGGAATCGAAACTGGGAATCGATAAGAATCTGAATCGATAAGCAGATTTAGCCTGGATCACAGACAGGGTCACATATTTGATGTGTAAACAGGCTGTATGCTTGCCCTACTTTAAAATAGACCTTTGAAATAAACCATCTGTCTTTTTTTCTTTATTTTTGTTTCTAGGTCCGTAACCATCTATATTCAGTAAAGGCATATCCCGACTTCCCTTTTGACATCCACTTTGCTCAACAGGCCGAGGAAATCGCAGATGCTATTAAGAACAATCAAACACGTTTAGCAATGTATCTGTCAGAGAAACTCATACTTGATTATGGTACCCATGTCATCACAAGTGTTGATGCTGGTGCCACTTTAGTGCAAGAGGAGTATTTAAAAATGTCTTTTGTCACAAAGAATCAGTTACAATTGTCTTCTGTATCTTCATCAGCAGGTCTTTCCTTCTTCGAAAAACTTAAATTTGATTTTGGCAGCAATGTATCACAAAAAAACTCTCAAATCAGTGGTTATCAGGGTAACATCACATATTCCTTAATTCAGAGCCAAGGAGGGGCTTTATTCTACCCAGGCATCACTCTGCAGAAGTGGCAAGAGAGTACGCTCAATAATCTGGTGGCTATTGACCGCTCCGGGCTGCCAATTCCCTATTTTCTGAATCCAACAACATTCCCAGACCTCCCAGTACCAGTAGTACATAAATTAGCTTTGTTGGTTTCTCAGGCTGCAGAGCAATACTATAAAGTAAATACTATTCCAGGTTGTGTAAATCCAGATTCTAAAAACTTCAACTTTCAAGCAAATGTAGATGATGCATCTTGTGAAGGTTCAGTCACCAATCTTAGCTTTGGTGGCGTTTACCAACAGTGCACTGCACTGACATCAGATGGAAATGCTATTTGTGATGAAACAGCACAGACAAACCCAGCTACTGGTGTTTTTTCTTGTCCTTCACAATACAACACCACCCTGTTACGCTCTGAGACAATAGAACAAGGTTATACTCTTTATGAGTGCCAAAAAAACTGTCGTTCATGTGGCTTTTTATGGTTGTCTACTTGTTGTTCCCAAACATGTGCCGATGTTTACCATGTCCGTCGTGCAAAGGTGGACACTTACTGGTGTTCCTCAACTCAGAAAAACCCTTTGAACTCTGGATACCTCTTTGGAGGGCTACATGGGCCATCTTTGCAAAATCCATTTACCAAATCTTATAGCTGTCCTCCAAATTTCTTTGTCCAAAAATTTTTGTCTAGTGGTTTGATGGTTTGTCTGAGCAATGATTATGTCACAGCAACAAAATCCTCTGTGTCGTTTGGTGGTTTCTTCAGCTGCCAATCTGGCAACCCTCTCTCAAATGGTCAATCTCGCTGTCCACCTCAGTTCAGCCAACATCTTGCTGCTGTTAGTGATGGCTGTGAGATATTGTACTGTGTCCAGTCTGGTGTATTCAGTGGTGGTCAGTTAAAACCTGTTCGTCTCCCACCATTCACAAGCCCACCGCTGGTTGACATGACTGCCACCAACTCTGTAGCTGTAATGACAGAAGGTAATGTTTCCGGGGTGAGAGTTGGACAAACAAGGACATGGCAACTGGCAAATCCTGTTGAAATTAATACAATTTTTGTGAGGTCTGGAGGAGAAAAGGCTGGTGTAACCTATGGCCTGATAGCTTTAATTGCTCTTGTGGTATCAGTTGTTTAATAAAAAGGTTTTCTTAGCTTGAGTGTGAACAAACTTGACAGTGTCTTAAAGAGTCAGGAAGAACAAAAGAATGAAAATGCAAATTATGATAATTGTCAGAACTGTAATGAAATTACACAGTGATTAATACATAGTGATGGGTATAAAGGATGTTTTAGTTTAAAAAGAAAAACAAAACACTCTCCATTTTTTTTACATTTTTTTTCTTGTAATCATTATCATTATCATAATCCAGTTATAACAGGTGTGGTGGTGGTGGTACTATATTATTTGCAAAGTTAACCAACTACATATATATCTATGAAATAATCAAAACAAATGTTCTCTCTGAGAAAAATATATTTTCTTTACATTGCAATGATTTAAACTTTGTATTGATTTAAATAGCATGCATAAAAACACCAATCAGTAATGTGTGATTTGTTTTGAATGGCTTAATATTCCTGATCTGTATTTTTTAAATCTTTAAAATAAAAATCTTTATTGTGTGCATTTTCTAAAGGTATCATTATTGATGTTTTGTACTCAAAAGCTAGTATTTTGGTGATATGGTACGATATACAGTGGTATATACATGATATACAGTAAATACAATTATTACAACAATAGTATTTTCACCAGCTAAAAAACTTTTTTTTTAGACCTACTAGCAAAGCTACCTGAAAAACTATGCACAAGTGCATCTAGGGCAAATGTTGCTATAAACACAAAGGATGGTCACACCAAATGTTGATTTAATTTAGTTGAAAGAAGTTAAGTGATAAAGAAAATCTATTTATGACATTATTTTTGACAGCATCCTCATTTTACAGCATTTTTTGCACAAGTGCCTAAAACTTTTAACAGTACTGTAGCTTTGCAGGGAGGTGTCTTGAAGCACCTTGGAGACGTTGCCACAGTTCTTCTGGATTTAGTCTGTCTCAGTTTGTTCTGTTTCTTCATGTCATTTCAGACAGACTGGATGATGATGAGATCAGATCTCTGTGTGGAGAATTGGCTGTTGTCAGACTCCTTGTGCAAAAAAAAAAATCTCACTGGATTATTACAATTAATGACAAAATTAATGTTTGGAAATGTAAACTGATATACTGACACACTACAACAAAAGATAAAATAACTGACTTATAACCATTTTTATCTGGTGAAAATACTAGTGTTCTATTAATTTTGACCACCGTATGCATACAGGCTATAGATACCGTTTAATCATCCTTAAACTCAATCCAGAACCTGGCAAAACAGTTATCTTAATTTAAAATAGGTTTCAAGACTCTCAAGTTCTACTTTCTTCTTTCTGTTAACTTTTGTTCCCCGTAAAATGTTTTAGTGTTCACTGTTTTGCAATAAATCATACTGGGATGTTTGTTAAAAAATGGTTGGATGTGACAGCCCTTCCTACAAAATTTACCACTAGAGGCCACTGCAGCAGCACACACAGCGGTGTTCTGACCTTACTTTCTGCAAAGGATGCCATTGCTACACTGTATCTTTAGATAACACACACACATACACATATATATATATATAAAGAGAGAGAGAGAATACAATAATTTGTGTGTGTGTGTGTAAGTATATTACATGTATATCTGAAATTTTTATTTTACTCAGGCTCCTATGTGTAGGTTCAGTAATTTCACTTTAATGGAAATGAATTGGTTATTTTCTTTGCCATTAAAGTGAAATAACTGAACATAAACATAGGAGCCTGAGAAAAATACTAATTTTAGAAGAAAATTTCAGATGGCACTTAGAGGCTTTTGCATCTGAACTCTTCACACACACACACACACACACACACACACACACACACACACAATCTAACATCATAAAATAAATTTACATATATTTCAAGTTCATTCTTGTTGGCTGTTCAGAGTCACGTCAGGGCTTATAAAATCCTGATGTAGTTAAACCAAATGTAATCCTCATCTGACCAAACAATTTAGGCATAAACACTTGAAAATTCAGCCAAATCATGGTTTTATCTGAAAAACAAACCCAGAACATTCTTTAATAAGTACTTTCTTATCACAACCTTTGACAAAATAACTGTCAAAAAACAATGAAAAACCAAATGTCAGGCAAATTACAGTTTTATTTTGAAACCCCGCTCAGAATCTGCTGACAGATAACTTCATTTTGTTGAGACCACTCAGATCATTGGATGGAGTCAGTTAGAATTACCAAGGGTTCACACAAAACAAGGGGAGCTGCTTTTAGCTATTATGCCGCCCGCAGTTGGAACCAGCTTCCAGAAGAGATCAGATGTGCTAAAACATTAGTCACATTCAAAATTAGATTCAAAACTAATCTGTTTAGCTGTGCATTTACTGAATATTTTATGTATAATAATTTTCTTTTCTTAACTGTTTTAATTCATTTTAAAAGTTTATAAATTCCTTTTTCTTTCCTGTTTCCATAAATCCTTCCTGTTTTTATAAATTCCTGTTTTTATTATTGTGATTATATTTATTTATGATTATTTTACTTCCTTTTATGTAAAGCACTTTGAATTACCACTGTGTATGAAATGTGCTATATAAATAAGCTTGCCTTGCCTTACAGAGTTACAGACCACCCAGAGCTCAGCACTGAATTTTCAAAACACCTCCAGCGACTTCCGACACAATATGACGAGGAAACAAAACCCCTGTACCGAAGAACTATAGATACTTACGGCACTCACTACACACGTCAAGTCCATCTGGGAGGGCGAGTGAGGTGAGTCACGGCTTTTCAAACTTGTCTTGCAACCCTGAAAGGCTTCTCAGAGACCGATATCAAGAACTGCCTGAATATTGAGTTAAACATGGCTTTGAGGTTCCATCCAGCCAATGCCATGGTTTCCAACAATTGCTCTCAAATCCTTAAAGATAACATAGGCATGGGATTCTACCAGGGCTTCATGACACACAAGATAGAGGTGCTGGGAGGTGAGAAATACTTTCCAGACCTAGTTTTAAACCAAAGCCCAGCTGAAGCATACTCAAACTGGGTGAAGAGCTTGCATGACAATCTTGATGTTATATCATATGCAATTTTCCCTCTTCCCTATCTTTTGAGCTAATACTTTTGAATAATGAGGGCTAGGAACAAAACAATTTTTCTAATTTCAAAATTATTCTTCAAACTCATTCTAGACCATTGCTTTTATTTTAATGGAAATCGATGGCACATGCACAGTAGGCACAGTGCCACCTAGTGGTCAGGAAATATGAAAAACTTTTAATTATAACTTCTGAACTTTTCGGCAAACACAAGATAACATTTATGTTAACCTATGTTGTTTTCTTCTACAATAGAAATTCTACAGAATTATTGCAAGCCATTTTACTGTCATGTATGACATTGTGAGCTGTACAAGCTAATAAAATAATTGCAAAATGAATGTTTCATGTTAATTTATTTTGACAAGTGATCTTGTATTGTAGTGTGATAATGAGCCCTAATAACACATCAAAAGCAAAAAATATACAATTCCTTTGTGGTCTTGTAGTACATCAGTTCTTCAGGTGACTGCAAAGCATGTGATACATATGCTAAGGATGAATAATGATGCTAATGTGAATAATTGACAATGGGCCGTGTAAAGTTAGATGTACATCCAATTCTAGAATGTTTCATGAACAATGTATGTTTTTCTGAGAACATTATTCATAATAACTATTAACAAACGTTCTATTAATATTAATGGAAGAACATTGTGACCTTGAAAGAACCTTGTCAGAACATGAGTCAAAGTTCTAAGAATGCTCCCTAGTAGCTGGGTTTGTATTATGTCTTTGGTCAGCGCAGTCGGAGGGGAGCACCTGCCTCAACATTTCAAATGAGCTCTCCAATTAGTAGAATGACCTAAGCAATGCCACTCAGGCGAACATTATGGCACTGAGATGTGAAAGTATTAAAGAGATGGCCTCTGCTTGTTCACATCCTGTTTGAGGTTAGAATCTAGTGCTGCATTCCACTTCCTTTTCTCCTTGGGGGAATATAATCAATGGCCTATATCCAAGTCAATGAGATGGAGGGAAGTTAGCGAGGGACTGGCATAAAAAAATGAACTAGCAAGAAGCCTATAACTTGTGAGAGTCATGTGACTGACTGTTAGCTAAGGGATCCTCCAAAGTGCCAGGAATCATTTCAACAACTGCAGAATTTCCAGCAGGTTACACAACACCCATGAGAGTCACAGCTGATATTACTGAACCGTCACTGAGCTTTTTTCCCTTGTGTAATCTGAGTGAACAGTTGTGGCATAGCTTCAATGGGGTATATGTGAAACGTCATCTGGCCAAATAAAAAAACACGTCTCAATGCATCCGTTTGTCTGAGAAAGTGTTAACAGCAGTATGAACTGATGGTGATATTTATAGACATTTAAAGTAATCAGGTAACTTGGCTATTTTATTGTTGAATAGTTTATTGTTGTGCACTTGCACAGACAAATAGCCTTTCAGTATGTATTAGCCAGAAATAGGCAGGCCATTTGCCTATATAAGTTGGCTCTACATGCCATTTCATCAGAATCTTTCAACAGAAGAGTGGCAAGCAACAACTAGCTACAAGCACAGTAGCATGGCCAGCAACGCAGTGCTCATTTCCATAATCTTAGGGAACCAAGGTTACGTTAATAACCAAGACGTTGCCATTCAATATGGTTCACTCACATTGTGTCAGTTACTGACACCTTGAGAATGCAATCCAATAGTGCTGTGCTACCAGCACAGAACAGAAGACCTATTCTACAAGCCCAGCCTAAGGGTGCACTCAACCTATGGGCCCATACCAGGCTTTCCTGCCAATACTAGAATAAAAATACTTGAGGGTAAAGAAGAGTTCGCCCAACAAGTAGACCTGGGTCTGTGAGGCTGAAACATTAGGACAGGCCCTTAAGCAGCAAACGCTCAAACCGACCACACAGAGGTTTTTGGGTCAGCTAAATAGACAAGATTCATGCCTGAAGGGTAGGATTGTCCAGGTTATAGAACCTGACAAAGGTAGAT